GAGACTCATATAGAACAATAGAGATCCATACAACCCCACAGGGATCCAGAGACTCGTATAGAACAATAGAGACCCATACAACCCCGCAGAGATCCAGAGACTCGTATAGAACAATAGAGACCCATACAACCCCACAGAGAGATCCAGAGACTCGTATGGAACAATAAAGACCCATACAACGCCACAGCGATCCAGAGACTCGTATAGAACAATAGAGACCCATACAACCCCACAGGGATCCAGAGACTCGTATAGAACAATAGAGATCCATACAACCCTATAGAGATCCAGAGACTCGTATAGAACAATAGAGACCCATACAACCCCACAGAGAAATCCAGAGACTCATATAGAACAATAGAGACCCATACAACGCCACAGAGATCCAGAGACTCGTATAGAACAATAGAGACCCATACAACTCCACAGCGATCCAGAGACTCGTATAGAACAATAGAGACCCATACAACCCCACAGAGAAATCCAGAGACTCGTATAGAACAATAGAGACCCATACAACCCCACAGCGATCCAGAGACTCGTATAGAACAATAGAGACCCATACAACCCCATAGAGAAATCCAGAGACTCGTATAGAACAATAGAGACCCATACAACCCCACAGAGAAATCCAGAGACTCGTATAGAACAATAGAGACCCATACAACCCCACAGAGAACCAGAGACTCGTATAGAACAATAGAGACCCATACAACCCCACAGAGATCGAGAGACTCGTATAGAACAATAGAGACCCATACAACCCCACAGAGAAATCCAGAGACTCGTATAGAACAATAGAGACCCATACAACTCCACAGAGATCCAGAGACTCGTATAGAACAATAGAGACCCATACAACCCCACAGAGAAATCCAGAGACTCGTATAGAACAATAGAGACCCATACAACCCTAAAGAGATCCAGAGACTCGTATAGAACAATAGAGACCCATACAACCCCACAGGGATCCAGAGACTCGTATAGAACAATAGAGACCCATACAACCCCACAGAGATACAGAGACTCGTATAGAACAATAGAGACCCATACAACCCCACAGCGATCCAGAGACTCGTATAGAACAATAGAGACCCATACAACCCCACAGGGATCCAGAGACTCATATAGAACAATAGAGACCCATACAACCCCACAGGGATCCAGAGACTCGTATAGAACAATAGAGACCCATACAACCCCACATAGATCCAGAGACTCATATAGAACAATAGAGACCCATACAACCCCATAGAGATCCAGAGACTCGTATAGAACAATAGAGACCCATACAACCCTGCAGAGATCCAGAGACTCGTATAGAACAATAGAGACCCATACAACCCCATAGAGATCCAGAGACTCGTATAGAACAATAGAGACCCATACAACCCCGCAGAGATCCAGAGACTCATATAGAACAATAGAGACCCATACAACCCCACAGAGATACAGAGACTCGTATAGAACAATAGAGACCCATACAACCCCACAGGGATCCAGAGACTCGTATAGAACAATAGAGACCCATACAACCCCACAGAGAAATCCAGAGACTCGTATAGAACAATAGAGACCCATAGAGATGCATATACACCCATAGAGCCCCAGCCAGTCTCTAAACGACTCTAAACGCGTGATGGTGCCCGATGCCGATTCTGAATGTGGAGGGGAAAGCCGGAGGAGGTCCCGGAGACAAATCCACGGAGCGACCACCACGGGGAGAGAGAGACACAGACTCCACACAGACTCCACACACACTCCACACACACTCCACACAGACTCCACACACACTCCACACAGACTCCACACAGACTCCACACACACTCCACACACACTCCACACAGACTCCACACACACTCCACACAGACTCCACACACACTCCACACACACTCCACACAGACTCCACACAGACTCCACACAGACAGCACACACACTCCACACACACTCCACACACACTCCACACACACTCCACACAGACTCCACACACACTCCACACAGACTCCACACACACTCCACACAGACTCCACACACACTCCACACACACTCCACACACACTCCACACAGACTCCACACACACTCCACACAGACTCCACACACACTCCACACACACTCCACACAGACTCCACACACACTCCACACAGACTCCACACAGACTCCACACACACTCCACACACACTCCACACAGACTCCACACACACTCCACACAGACTCCACACAGACTCCACACAGACTCCACACACACTCCACACAGACTCCACACACACTCCACACACACTCCACACAGACTCCACACAGACTCCACACACACTTCACACACACTCCACACAGACTCCACACACACTCCACACACACTCCACACACACTCCACACACACTCCACACACACTCCACACAGACTCCACACAGACTCCACACACACTTCACACACACTCCACACAGACTCCACACACACTTCACACAGACTCCACACAGACTCCACACACACTCCACACAGACTCCATACACACTCCACACACACTCCACACACACTCCACACACACTCCACACAGACTCCACACACACTCCACACAGACTCCACACAGACTCCACACACACTCCACACACACTCCACACAGACTCCACACACACTCCACACAGACTCCACACACACTCCACACAGACTCCACACAGACAGCAGCAGCAGCAGGCGTGGTCAGGATGAGGATCGAACCCACGACCTCCTGTGTACCAGGCGAGGTAGTTAACATCTCACCACCACAGGGAGAGAGAGAGAGACACAGACTCCACACACACTCCACACAGACAGCAGCAGCAGCAGCAGGCGTGGTCAGGGCGAGGATCGAACCCACGACCTCCTGTGTACCAGGTGAGGTAGTTAACATCTCCTAGCCACCGTGGTGTCAGTGTCCGGGATGGAACCCACGACCTCCTGCGTACCAGGCGAGGTAGTTAACATCTCCTAGCCACCGTGGTGTCAGGGTCCGGGATCGAACCCACGACCTCCTGCGTACCAGGTGAGGTAGTTAACATCTCCTAGCCACCGTGGTGTCAGTGTCCGGGATGGAACCCACGACCTCCTGCGTACCAGGCGAGGTAGTTAACATCTCCTAGCCACCGTGGTGTCAGGGTCTGGGAAAGAACCCACGACCTCCTGCGTACCAGGCGAGGTAGTTAACATCTCACCACCACCGGGAGAGACACAGACTCCACACAGACAGCAGCAGCAGTCAGGGTGAGGATCGAACCCACGACTACGCGCTATAGGATGACCACGCTATAGGATGACCACGCTATAGGATGACCACGCTATAGGATAACCACGCTATAGGATAACCACACTATAGGATAACCACGCTATAGGATGACCACGCTATAGGATAACCACACTATAGGATAACCACGCTACAGGATAACCACGCTACAGGATGACCACGCTATAGGATGACCACGCTATAGGATAACCACGCTATAGGATAACCACACTATAGGATAACCACACTATAGGATAACCACGCTATAGGATGACCACGCTATAGGATAACCACACTATAGGATAACCACACTATAGGATAACCACGCTATAGGATGACCACGCTATAGGATAACCACACTATAGGATAACCACGCTATAGGATGATCACGCTATAGGATAACCACACTATAGGATAACCACGCTATAGGATGACCACGCTATAAGATAACCACACTATAGGATAACCACGCTATAGGATAACCACGCTATAGGATAACCACGCTATAGGATAACCACGCTATAGGATAAACACGCTATAAGATAACCACGCTACAGGATAACCACGCTATAGGATAACCACACTATAGGATGACCACGCTATAGGATAACCACGCTATAGGATGACCATGCTACAGGATAACCACGCTACAAGATAACCACGCTATAGGAAAACCACACTACAGGATAACCACGCTACAGGATAACCACGCTACAGGATAACCACGCTGCAGGATAACCACGCTACAGGATGACCACGCTACAGGATAACCATGCTACAGGATGACCACGCTATAGGATAACCACGCTATAGGATGACCACGCTACAGGATAACCACGCTACAGGATAACCACACTACAGGATAACCACGCTACAGGATGACCACGCTACAGGATAACCACGCTACAGGATAACCACGCTATAGGATGACCAAGCTACAGGATAACCACGCTACAGGATAACCACACTACAGGATAACCACGCTACAGGATGACCACGCTACAGGATAACCACGCTACAGGATAACCACGCTATAGGATAACCACGCTATAGGATAACCACGCTACAGGATGACCACGCTATAGGATGACCACGCTATAGGATGACCACGCTATAGGATAACCACGCTATAGGATGACCACGCTACAGGATAACCACGCTATAGGATGACCACACTATAGGATAACCACGCTACAGGATGACCACGCTACAGGATGACCACGCTACAGGATAACCACGCTACAGGATAACCACGCTATAGGATAACCACGCTACAGGATAACCACGCTATAGGATAACCACGCTACAGGATGACCACGCTACAGGATGACCACGCTACAGGATAACCACGCTACAGGATAACCACGCTATAGGATAACCACGCTACAGGATAACCACGCTATAGGATAACCACGCTACAGGATAACCACGCTACAGGATAACCACGCTACAGGATAACCACGCTACAGGATAACCACGCTATAGGATAACCACGCTATAGGATAACCACGCTACAGGATAACCACGCTACAGGATAACCACGCTATAGGATGACCACGCTACAGGATGACCACGCTATAGGATGACCACGCTACAGGATAACCACGCTACAGGATAACCACGCTACAGGATAACCACGCTACAGGATAACCACGCTACAGGATAACCACGCTACAGGATAACCTACTAAACTCCTTTTTCAAGGCTGAGCGGACCCTGCGGAGGCACGGCGCTCCCACCCACTCACCTCCCAGCAGGCGTCGCCCTCCGCCCCCTTGGCCGTCGCCGCGGCCACCGCTGGGCCCGGTGCCGCCCCCCTCAGCCTGTCCCTTTCCTGGTGCGGCTGCCACGCCCGGGCCTCCGCCCCGCGCTCGTCCCGGGCCCGCTCCGGCGGTAGCGGCCGGCCCTCCTCCTCCAACGCGGCCGCCGCCTCCCTCAGCCGCCGCTCCAGGCGAGACGACAGGCTCCCGGGGCCGCCGGGCCCGGCGGGGGCGACGGACGCCGGGCCGCCGGGCCCCCGCGGACGCCGGCCCGCGGGGCCAGAGGGGCCCGAGGGGCCAGAGGGGCCAGAGGGGCCCGAGGGGCCAGAGGGGCCAGAGGGGCCAGAGGGGCCAGAGGGGCCAGAGGGGCCCGAGGGGCCCGCGGGCCGGGGGGCCGCGGCGGGAGAGGCTGCCGCTCGGACGTCGGGAGCCGGGCGGCTACCGCCCGGACCGCCGTGAGGTACGGGAGGCTCGGTCCACCCCAGGCAGGACGGGGGTCTGGCCCCTCCGCCTCCTCCTCCTCCTCCTCCTCCTCCTCCGCCTCCTCCTCCTCCTCCTCGGCCTCCTCCTCCTCTGTTCTCAAATCTCCGCGTCTCCACCGGGGGGCTCTCCGTGACTGCCGTCCCGCGGGCCGTCGCCAGGGCGCTGGCCCCGGCGCTGGCCCCGGTGCTGGCCCCGGCTCTGGCCCCGGCGCTGGCCCCGGTGCTGGCCCTGTGCTTCTCCCTCCACCTCTCCAGGTGCTGCCTGGGGCCCGCGGCCCTCCCGGCGGCTCCGACGAGCCGCCCCTCCGAGCGGGAGACGACGCTCCGGCCTCCTCCTCCTCCTCCGCCTCCTCCTCCTCTGCCTCCTCCTCCTCCGCCTCCTCCTCCTCCACCTCCTCCTCCTCCTCCGCCTCCTCCTCCTCCGCCTCCTCCGCCTCCTCCTCCTCCTCCTCCGCCTCCTCCTCCTCCTCGTCGGCCACCGTGCGGCCCCGCCCAGCGGCACGCCGGCTCCGTCGTCCCCGTCCAGGCCGCCGCCGCCGCCGCCACCGACCGGCCACGCGGGTCGGCCCCCGGCGGTCTCCCCGACGGGGTCGCCCTTCCTCCCGGTTCCTCCTCCTCCTCCTCATCCTCATCATCATCCTCCTCCTCCTCCTCGTCGTCCTCCCGCTCCGGGCGAAAGGCGGCCGGATTGGCGGCGGCGGCGTTGCCGGTTCGCGGTTGCGGCCGGCGCGGTCCGGGGGTCTCCCTGGGGTGCCTCCAGGGGCCCGCCGGGCTAGGCCCGGCTCGGGTGGACGAGGTGGCGGCGGTGGCGGAGGAGCAGCCCAAGAGGTCGAGGCGACTCGTGGAGGCGCTGAGATAAGAGTTGCGCGGTGCCTGGAGACACGGTGGGTGGTGGTGGTGGTGGGTGGGGTCACAGTCACCGTGGATGTGTCACCACCGTCAGGTTATCCTAGAGCGTGGTTATCCTGTAGCGTGGTTATCCTGTAGCGTGGTTATCCTGTAGCGTGGTTATCCTGTAGCGTGGTTATCCTGTAGCGTGGTTATCCTGTAGCGTGGTTATCCTGTAGCGTGGTTATCCTATAGCGTGGTTATCCTAGAGCGTGGTTATCCTGTAGCGTGGTTATCCTGTAGCGTGGTTATCCTGTAGCGTGGTTATCCTGTAGTGTGGTTATCCTGTAGCGTGGTTATCCTGTAGCGTGGTTATCCTGCAGCGTGGTTATCCTATAGCGTGGTTATCCTATAGTGTGGTTATCCTGTAGCGTGGTTATCCTATAGCGTGGTTATCCTATAGCGTGGTTATCCTATAGCGTGGTTATCCTATAGCGTGGTTATCCTGTAGCGTGGTCATCCTGTAGCGTGGTTATCCTTTAGCATGGTTATCCTACAGCGTGGTTATCCTACAGCGTGGTCATCCTATAGCGTGGTTATCCTGTAGCGTGGTTATCCTATAGCGTGGTTATCCTGTAGCGTGGTTATCCTATAGCGTGGTTATCCTGTAGCGTGGTTATCCTGTAGCGTGGTTATCCTATAGCGTGGTTATCCTGTAGCGTGGTTATCCTATGGCGTGGTCATCCTATAGCGTGGTTATCCTGTAGCGTGGTTATCCTACAGCGTGGTTATCCTATAGCGTGGTTATCCTGTAGCGTGGTTATCCTGTAGCGTGGTTATCCTGTAGCGTGGTTATCCTATAGCGTGGTTATCCTGTAGCGTGGTTATCCTGTAGCGTGGTTATCCTGTAGCGTGGTTATCCTACAGCGTGGTTATCCTATAGCGTGGTTATCCTATAGTGTGGTTATCCTGTAGCGTGGTTATCCTATAGCGTGGTTATCCTATAGCGTGGTTATCCTGTAGCGTGGTTGTCCTGTAGCGTGGTTATCCTGTAGAGTGGTTATCCTGTAGCGTGGTCATCCTGTAGCGTGGTTATCCTGTAGCGTGGTTATCCTATAGCGTGGCTATCCTATAGCGGGGTTATCCTATAGGGTGGTTATCTTATAGCGTGGTTATCCTGTAGCGTGGTTATCCTATAGCGTGGTTATCCTGTAGCGTGGTTATCTTGTAGCGTGGTCATCCTACAGCGTGGTCATCCTGTAGCGTGGTTATCCTGTAGCGTAGTTATCCTGTAGCGTGGTTATCCTATAGCGTGGTTATCCTGTAGCGTGGTTATCCTGTAGCTTGGTTATCCTGTAGCGTGGTTATCCTATAGCATGGTTATCCTGTAGCGTGGTTATCCTGTAGCGTGGTTATCCTATAGCGTGGTTATCCTGTAGCGTGGTTATCCTGTAGCGTGGTTATCCTATAGCGTAGTTATCCTATAGCGTGGTTATCCTATAGCGTGGTTATCCTGTAGCGTGGTTATCCTGTAGCGTGGTTATCCTATAGCGTGGTCATCCTATAGTGTGGTCATCCTATAGCATGGTTATCCTATAGCGTGGTTATCCTATAGTGTGGTCATCCTATAGCGTGGTTATCCTATAGCGTGGTCATCCTATAGCGTGGTTATCCTATAGCGTGGTTATCCTATAGCGTGGTCATCCTATAGCGTGGTCATCCTACAGTGTGGTTATCCTACAGCGTGGTTATCCTACAGCGTGGTCATCCTATAGCGTGGTTATCCTGTAGCGTGGTTATCCTATGGCGTGGTCATCCTATAGCGTAGTTATCCTGTAGCGTGGTTATCCTACAGCGTGGTTATCCTATAGCGTGGTTATCCTGTAGCGTGGTTATCCTGTAGCGTGGTTATCCTGTAGCGTGGTTATCCTATAGTGTGGTTATCCTGTAGCGTGGTTATCCTGTAGCGTGGTTATCCTGTAGCGTGGTTATCCTATAGTGTGGTTATCCTGTAGCGTGGTTATCCTATAGCGTGGTTATCCTATAGCGTGGTTATCCTATAGCGTGGTTATCCTATAGCGTGGTTATCCTATAGCGTGGTCATCCTGTAGCGTGGTTATCCTTTAGCGTGGTTATCCTACAGCGTGGTTATCCTACAGCGTGGTCATCCTATAGCGTGGTTATCCTGTAGCGTGGTTATCCTATAGCGTGGTTATCCTGTAGCGTGGTTATCCTATAGCGTGGTTATCCTGTAGCGTGGTTATCCTATGGCGTGGTCATCCTATAGCGTGGTTATCCTGTAGCGTGGTTATTCTACAGCGTGGTTATCCTATAGCGTGGTTATCCTGTAGCGTGGTTATCCTGTAGCGTGGTTATCCTATAGCGTGGTTATCCTGTAGCGTGGTTATCCTGTAGCGTGGTTATCCTGTAGCGTGGTTATCCTACAGCGTGGTTATCCTATAGCGTGGTTATCCTATAGTGTGGTTATCCTGTAGCGTGGTTATCCTATAGCGTGGTTATCCTATAGCGTGGTTATCCTGTAGCGTGGTTATCCTGTAGCGTGGTTATCCTGTAGAGTGGTTATCCTGTAGCGTGGTCATCCTGTAGCGTGGTTATCCTGTAGCGTGGTTATCCTATAGCGTGGCTATCCTATAGCGGGGTTATCCTATAGGGTGGTTATCTTATAGCGTGGTTATCCTGTAGCGTGGTTATCCTATAGCGTGGTTATCCTGTAGCGTGGTTATCTTGTAGCGTGGTCATACTACAGCGTGGTCATCCTGTAGCGTGGTTATCCTGTAGCGTGGTTATCCTGTAGCGTGGTTATCCTATAGCGTGGTTATCCTGTAGCATGGTTATCCTGTAGCTTGGTTATCCTGTAGCGTGGTTATCCTATAGCATGGTTATCCTGTAGCGTGGTTATCCTGTAGCGTGGTTATCCTATAGCGTGGTTATCCTGTAGCGTGGTTATCCTGTAGCGTGGTTATCCTGTAGCGTGGTTATCCTATAGCGTAGTTATCCTATAGCGTGGTTATCCTATAGCGTGGTTATCCTGTAGCGTGGTTATCCTGTAGCGTGGTTATCCTATAGCGTGGTCATCCTATAGCGTGGTCATCCTATAGCATGGTTATCCTATAGCGTGGTTATCCTATAGTGTGGTCATCCTATAGCGTGGTTATCCTATAGCGTGGTCATCCTATAGCGTGGTTATCCTATAGCGTGGTTATCCTGTAGCGTGGTTATCCTGTAGCGTGGTTATCCTATAGCGTGGTTATCCTGTAGCGTGGTTATCCTATGGCGTGGTCATCCTATAGCGTGGTTATCCTGTAGCGTGGTTATCCTACAGCGTGGTTATCCTATAGCGTGGTTATCCTGTAGCGTGGTTATCCTGTAGCGTGGTTATCCTGTAGCGTGGTTATCCTATAGCGTGGTTATCCTGTAGCGTGGTTATCCTGTAGCGTGGTTATCCTGTAGCGTGGTTATCCTACAGCGTGGTTATCCTATAGCGTGGTTATCCTATAGTGTGGTTATCCTGTAGCGTGGTTATCCTATAGCGTGGTTATCCTATAGCGTGGTTATCCTGTAGCGTGGTTGTCCTGTAGCGTGGTTATCCTGTAGAGTGGTTATCCTGTAGCGTGGTCATCCTGTAGCGTGGTTATCCTGTAGCGTGGTTATCCTATAGCGTGGCTATCCTATAGCGGGGTTATCCTATAGGGTGGTTATCTTATAGCGTGGTTATCCTGTAGCGTGGTTATCCTATAGCGTGGTTATCCTGTAGCGTGGTTATCTTGTAGCGTGGTCATCCTACAGCGTGGTCATCCTGTAGCGTGGTTATCCTGTAGCGTAGTTATCCTGTAGCGTGGTTATCCTATAGCGTGGTTATCCTGTAGCGTGGTTATCCTGTAGCTTGGTTATCCTGTAGCGTGGTTATCCTATAGCATGGTTATCCTGTAGCGTGGTTATCCTGTAGCGTGGTTATCCTATAGCGTGGTTATCCTGTAGCGTGGTTATCCTGTAGCGTGGTTATCCTATAGCGTAGTTATCCTATAGCGTGGTTATCCTATAGCGTGGTTATCCTGTAGCGTGGTTATCCTGTAGCGTGGTTATCCTATAGCGTGGTCATCCTATAGTGTGGTCATCCTATAGCATGGTTATCCTATAGCGTGGTTATCCTATAGTGTGGTCATCCTATAGCGTGGTTATCCTATAGCGTGGTCATCCTATAGCGTGGTTATCCTATAGCGTGGTTATCCTATAGCGTGGTCATCCTATAGCGTGGTCATCCTACAGTGTGGTTATCCTACAGCGTGGTTATCCTACAGCGTGGTCATCCTATAGCGTGGTTATCCTGTAGCGTGGTTATCCTATGGCGTGGTCATCCTATAGCGTGGTTATCCTGTAGCGTGGTTATCCTACAGCGTGGTTATCCTATAGCGTGGTTATCCTGTAGCGTGGTTATCCTGTAGCGTGGTTATCCTGTAGCGTGGTTATCCTATAGTGTGGTTATCCTGTAGCGTGGTTATCCTGTAGCGTGGTTATCCTGTAGCGTGGTTATCCTATAGTGTGGTTATCCTGTAGCGTGGTTATCCTATAGCGTGGTTATCCTATAGCGTGGTTATCCTATAGCGTGGTTATCCTATAGCGTGGTTATCCTGTAGCGTGGTCATCCTGTAGCGTGGTTATCCTTTAGCGTGGTTATCCTACAGCGTGGTTATCCTACAGCGTGGTCATCCTGTAGCGTGGTTATCCTGTAGCGTGGTTATCCTATAGCGTGGTTATCCTGTAGCGTGGTTATCCTATA